GTGTGTGTGTGTGTGTGTATATATATATATATATATATCCGTATATATCCATATATATAAATATATCTATATATATATATATGTATGTATGTATGTATGTATGTATATGTATCCATATATATGTATGTATGTATGTATGTAGATGGATGTATGTATGTGTGTGTATGTATGTGTGTATGTAGGTATGTATGCATGTATGCATGCATGTATGTATGTATGTATGTATGTATATACATACATGTATATATATACATACATATATATAGGTGTGTGTGTGCGTCTGTTCTCCGATATATATATAATATATGTGTGTGTGCGTGTGTTCTCCGTCGCGTCTCCAAGTAGTAAACTATCTTCATCAGTCAAGCTTTTGTGTACTTGTGTGATAGTAAAGAGTAAAAATGTAGTACACAAATGATTTTTGCTTCTGTAGTACGCCCCAAAATAAATGTACGCTGCACTACGACCTTACACAAATTTAATGCAATGTATGCAACGATTCAATAATTATACAGATGTATACATACGTAGCCAGTGCCATCAATCGTGGCCGGTTGCCATTGATTCTTACTTTGCACCTCTGTATCAACAGTTATTTTGTTTGCCTGAATCACGCGGCGCGTTGCCCTGGTGATCGCGAATCTGAAGTACAAGCCCAGACTCTTCTGAATTTAGCTCATTGTATGATCCCAAAGGATTGATTTTCTTCTCCTTGTCGCTGTGAACTGGTTGTATGTCTGTGATTTTTACACTCACGCAGTTGTTAAGGGTGCGCTTCTGGAGACACATAGTTTCTACATAGGTGCAATTGTTCTCTTCGGTCATATAGTTGTTTGGTAGTTTGGGCCACCAGTGTAGGTGCTAGTCCAATCGTATGTAGCTTCCTGATATATGTACGCAAAATATTAGCCGAAGGCACAAACACACAAAAACATATGTACAGATGTACTACCTATGTATGATGTAATTACTGTAATTACTGTGTATTCTAGTTAAAAATAAGCCGCATTATATCCTATCGTTACATAGTCTGAAAAGCATTAAGCGATATGTATATACAGTACACACCATACAGAGAATAAACAGAATGCCGGAAACCCGAGAATCGGGAATTCATTTGAAAGTAGACCCATGATGGATGCAGCGTTGTTAGATGGCAAGTTTGGGTTTTAGAAAGCACTCGGTTTTTCGATACTACATCCTTTGAGCAGTTTGTAACTAACGTTTCGAAACCGTATACACTCGTTGCGCACTTATGCACATACATGCCATGTCACATTCATATCAATTCAATTCATCGCCGCTCAGAATATTCCCGGGTTCAAAACATCAAGACTGGACATATTCTGATTTGGCGTCATGGTCAGCAGAGCTCCGTATGTCTTCCCGGAGTTGTACACTCAATTTGACACAATACCACTCCTGTGCCCACACCCACCATGCCGCTTAGCAGTGCGAAATAAGATACTACACTTCACACTTCCGTGCCAATTAAACTCTGAATGTCATTCCAATTCGCCACCTGTCTACGTATATCAGTACACATATCACATATCGGAGCGTCCCACATGGGCTGTACTATCACTGTCGTCGAGGTATTCGACAATCTCAAAGGCCGCTCGTTTGCCGGCATCCACTGCGCCATCCAGCAATCCTGCATTTTCTGCTGCGCTTTCTGCGCCCGCAAACACAAGTAACCCGCCCATCTCACTCTGTTTGAGGGTTGGGTTGGGTCTGGGATGTCCCCCACTACTTTGCAGGTCCAGTGTGTGTGCTGTGTACGAGTCCTTGTACCATCGCTTCACACTGATATAAGTCGGATGTGATTTTTCTTTGCCGAATACCTGTTCTAATTGCGCCACTACGGCCGCCTTCAGCTCTGCATCGCTCTCCGGCGCTGACGGCGTGATAAACCCGCCCAGTACAGGTGTATCAAAGGCCTTATCCGAGTGGTCGAAGAACTGCACTATGGGTCCTCTGGGCATCCGGAATGTGTCACTAAGACCTGACACCATCCACCATGGCGTGTCAAATGCCATCAAGATCTTCCCGGTGTTGGCCATCCACGTGTTCGTATTCCTCATGGCAGTCAGACGCTTCTGCGGCAGTGCCGGACTAAACGAGAGCTCACTCGCCAACCTGGGCGGCAGAGCCAGAACCAAAGCCCTGGCACTGTATGTTGGCTTGTCTGCTGCACTCACACTCACCACCCGTGACCCATCTGCCCCAGACACTGCCTCCACACTCTGCACGGCATGGTCATACACCACTGTTACTCCCTCGACCTTGGATATGCTCTGCAGCAGGCTGTCTGTCAGAGACTGCATCCCCTTCGTCATGCGGGCACCATCCATGGTGCGCTCTACGTGGGGAAAGGTCTCCAATGCACCAAATTCCGCTATGAGGGTCTCCACATGAGGTGTTGAGCCAGGCCATATCCATGCACCGCCGTAGTCGTAGCCCAAGGTCCTGTCACTAAACACACGTCCGCCGTGTCTGTTTCTGGCTTCCAGTATGGTTATACTGGGTGTCGGCTTCGCATGTGCACTATCAGACATTGTGGTAGTAGCTTTTGCCGGTGTATGCGTAGCGCCAGATGTTGCGTTGCTGCCTACGGTCTGTTTGAGAATGGTGTAAGCGGCTGTGAGCCCAGACAACCCAGCGCCGACGATCAATACGTCAGCATGAAACGCGTCCATGACCATGGTTGTACAGCGACCTGTAGGAGAGTGTGGAAATTATAGGGTTTCTTGCTTTGAGTCTAGCCTGGTCCTCGCGTGCTGTGTATGGATGTATAGTAGTTGTTAAGTGGCTGTGGCAGTAGGTTGCACGAGGGTACACCAGAATATTGCAATAAATCCACACTGACCTCAGACTGTCGGTCAAATAGACAGAGGAGTGTTCGATTCTTCGCCACGATTCTGTCGAAGACAAATCTGGGAGAAGAAAGTATATAAAAGTTTAAAACATCAAGGCATACCCTGAGGAACATAATATGCCAGCAAGCTCGGCAGTAGTGCCCCGGGATTTTAAATTTCAAAATATTCTTGGCTGACTTTCATGTGCATATGAAGTGGCAGTGAAGTAATCGTGTAATATAACTCGCCGAAATGAAAGAAACCCCTTCAAACATGTATATAAGTGTACTAACACGAGAGTCGAAGCCTACATCGAGTATAACGAAACCAGGAAGCACTCGCGTCATTTCAAAAGAAACTGGTACAGCGAACACAATCAACTGTAATCGTTCACTATCGTATTGTCAATCAACGAACTATCCTGTAATTATGTACACTTAGCACGCTTAAAAAGTGCAAAAACTAGGAAAACCTCAGGCAGATATATACATATACCT